AGGGTTTTTTTTTTCGTGTTTTTTTCCTTTGGGAGGGGGGGGGGGGGGAGCAGTAAGGAAGAGCTGTGGGTGAACAAAGTAGCAGTTATCTGTTTTGACAGAGATACTAAGTAGGAGTTCATGACAACTTTGTGCAGATCAGCCCTTGTCTTGCCAAAATACCAAAATAAAAGGGTGTGACTTATGTTCAGACATAATTAAATTGGATTTAAGATGTATTCTGAAGGCTGAGGCATAGATGGAGGTTCCAGTTTCCTGACTAGAAGCAGGGAGCACCTCAAGTACAGTGTGTCCTTGATTTGCCAGCTTTATCTTCTTTCTAACTTGTTTTTATGAGTACAGTGAAGATAGTTTCATGGTCTTTTAAGTTGTTTTGCAACAGCTGCTCCTGTGCATGGTCTTATCCATCTTACAGGTTGAGGGGTAGTTAGCTGCTGTAGGTTCACTTTCACACACATGGTTACCAGGCAGTAGCTCACTGGTTCTCAACTGCAATACCTCACGGCCCCTTTCAAAGGGTTACCTAATGTAGGCAGGGGTGCCCGCTTCTGTGGCCACCACTTCCCAGTCTGTCTTCTCCCTTGCCTCCAGGAGGCATATGAGCTCTACCTGGCTTCAGCAGCACCCTTGGAAGAGATGTTTCATGCCTTTTGGTCAGGTAAGTTGCAACCTGGGGCTATAATTAATCTTTATTTGGATGTGAATATAAAGAGAGAAACAATTTAAGTTAGGTGACCACATAAGTACAAGATCAAGTGTTTAAAAAAAAAAGTCATAAGTTGTAAGACCACAACAGTGGTTCTCAACTAGGATGCACTAAATCCATACAAGTTACTGAGGAGCGCTTTGCTCAAAAAAGTTGAGAACCACTGGAGTAGCTAACATACTATGAAATGCTAACCTTTTACCAAGCAGCATCTTATTTGTGCAACAACCTAACACAGATTCATTCCTTCAGGACCTGTGTTCCTCCAAGCAGTAGCATTGCATCTAATGAAACTGATCTCTTGGTTACAAAAGCTTATGCATCTTTGACTCAGTCTTAAGTCAGAGTAAAGATGCAGCTTATAAATTAACTAACTACCTGTTTGTTAGAATTACATAAATACTCTTTATACTCTTGCAAGCTTTTTCCCCTCCAACATAGTTCCATCACAGAGATCAGAATTTGAGGAGGAGTGAGACAAGAAACTGAACAAATTAAATGAGTTTCCTTGTGTGTACTACTACAGATCTTACTGGGGCAAGAGAACACACCAACCCGCTACAGTTGTGTCCAGGGATCCTGGTTTTCTCCAATTAAAGACAAAATAAAAAAGTCACAAATTCTGATTAAGAACTCCCAAATCTGTTATTAAAATTAAAAGCCCCTCCTAGCCCTGCTGGTGCCTCTCACTGCCCCCAGAACAGCACCCACCCCTAGCCCTGCCCCCTGGCTCTGCTGGCAGGGGCCCCAGCTACCAGGGCTATGGGGCCAGGGCCTCAAGGCTGCAACTCCCTGCCCCCAACAGCAGGCAGCTGCAGCAGAAGCAGCATGGGGCTGGCTCTCCCATGGCTGCTGCATGCTCAGGTGGGGGTGGGGCCAGCTCCTGGCTCCCCCCAGCCCCTTGCAAGCTGCTGAACTGAAAGCCTCAGGCCCCACAGTTTCCCCTCCCCTTCTGGCAGGGCTGGGGGTTTCCTGCCCTGTTTGCAAACAGCTCTTACAGGCTGGAGCTCAATCAGCCTGTAAGAGCTCTTTGCAAAAGCAGGGAATCTGCAGGTGTCTCAGCTAAAAAAGGAGAAATCTATGGTTTCTGTTTTTCCTTGGGAAATGGAAAACCAGGATCCCCGACTTATGTCACAGCATTTAAAAATACTTTTTCCTAATAAAAAAAAAAAAATCAGTCTAAGTATAATGTGGTTAAAGCAAGTCCTTATTCCTGACCATTAGCTTGGCATAGCAAATCCTAGAAACAACCATGGGGTTTACTTCAGTTATGTTAAAACCAGAGCCTGTCTTGTCCAAACAGGGATTCAGCAAATCTAAAAACATCACTTTGCCTCCTGCTCCCTCCCTGAGAGAGATTTCAAACCCTGTGAAAAGAAGCTGATAGTCCCTTAAAACCTCTAAATTCCCTTTGCAAAAGTTTTATTTGTAGTTTAAGTGCTTCTGTTCCTTTTTATCTTGAATTCTCCCTAGGATTCCTATCTTCATTTGCTCTTCCATGGGAGTTTTCTTTGTACTACTTTACACCTGGAAAGAGTTCTCATTAAAAAGCACATAGCCAAAGACAGACTAGAGTCAATGCCCTCAAGAATGAATAGAAGAAAATCCACTATACATAGGACCTGACCTACTCAGTCATTTATCTAAATTGGTAAAGGTGTTGTCATCTGACAGACCATGTCTTTGACCCTGTTCATTGTGGCTATCACTGCCTGTAAGTTACTGCATGAAAGGGTGATTTTGCAGTGCCCCTGCCAAAGAACTAATCAGCTGGGAAACAGGACTTGCAAATCACTTAAGTGGCATCAGAGGTGTTGATTAACCATGAAGGGTACCAGTTTCCTTTGCTTTATACTGTACACACATTCCTGGGAAGTGGCACAGAACTCTAATTCACATAAAGGGAACCAACTTTACAGTGTAACAAATATCCAAGACCTCAACTGTACTGACCCCCAAACCCATTTCTACAAGACAATTTAGGTATTCATCAACAGCAGACAGTACACACAAGCACAGGGTGGTGGTGAATGTTTAGTTGGTGTGAAGAGTAGGTGATGACGGACCAGGGAGAGGGGTAGGAGATAAGCTATCAGGATGCTTAGAAGCCATAATGGGCAACTAGAGAAACATGTGTCACAGACAATGAGTGAGGAGCACAGATCCACACCAGAGACTATATTTTGGTGCACATCACTGCCACAATGCACTGTACAAAGCAGCTGACCGCAGGCTTCCACCACACTAGGTCACATAAGAGTGAATTACCTTGCCTATGATGAGTTTTTGGTATAAAAAGGGTCATTGCATAAGAATGAATTTGCACATACAGAACCCACATAAAACAAGGGAAAACTTTATTACGCTTACCTAGGTCACAGGCAATGTGAGGCTTCATTAGTGCATTAGTGCTTTGCACTTCTTTAACATCTTCCACCAGATGATGTAAGAGCGAGCAAGGGAGAGAGTGCACACTCCCCCCCACATCTGGTGAAAGATGCTAAAGAAGTGCAAAACAATAACGCACTTCTAAGTGTGCATAGGAACCCACCACAATATTTACTATAAGCACTATAACTGAAAGGAACAAACAAGCAAGCAAACATAGATAGGAAGGTACCCTGTCTGACAACCAAAATAGGTTGGTAATTCAGCCTATTAACCACTTCACCCTAGCTATGAATTACAGGTGAATACATGGAAAGGACACAGCAGCAGCAGCAGCAGCATGTATTATTTTGATCACTAAACTAGAACTGCTCCCAGTTAAGTCCATGGTCAAAGTGCATTTGGGTGGACAGAGTTAATGGCTTAAACCATTAATTCAGCTGAAAAATATTTTCTTATTTCTTTAGGTTGGTCATACATTTCAGCCTAAATACAACTGGTACAGAGTTTTTGTGTTGGCATTTTCAATATTGATCTAATCACCAGAAGATCACTAACAAAACAAGATGAACAGCTGCCTGCAGTGGATTACTACAAGTCAGTTCCTGGTGATGACAGCACTGTTTCTTGCAGGATCAGAAGCTCAAAACAAAGTTACTTGTCCGTTTTCATAGTTCCTTCTACTCACTAGTATTTTGCACTTGGTTTGTTCTCTTTCTAACAAGAAAAGTATTCTCTTAACAGGCAGTTAAGTGAGACTATTGCTACTAAGGGGACAAAGATTTCAGTGGGAAGATGCTACACTCCACCCCAGAGTTAGAAGCTGTAGCGTACCTTTGCAAAAAATTGTCCTACAGTATCTTACTGAATCAAGCAGTGATAAGATACAGGACTTTACATTATTGTAGTCAGCCCAGGCTCTTCTCACTTGAGCAACACTGCAGAGCTATACTGACAGATGGAGTTGTCCGTCAGCACAAAGGGTTTCTGGCAACTTAACTGTATCCCCATTCCAAATGACATAATCATTTAAGGATTAAGGATAACAAAAAGTCCTTTTTCAAATATATTGGGAGGATGAAGAAGGTGCCGGGTAATGTGGGACCCCTGCAGGATACGCTGGGCAATTTGGTGGTTGCGTCAGAGGAGAAAGCGGACCTCTTTAACCAATTCTTCACCTCCGTTTTCTTGTGCAGGGACCGGGACTTCCCTGCTGTGATAGAAGCCGGACTCGAGGGGATTGCCTTCAGACCTCAGGTTGGGGAGGACCGGGTTAGAGAGCTTCTGGAGGGGCTGGAC